AAAAAAGAAATTTTAAGGGGAAAGGGGGTGGGGGAAAGAATTGAAAGAGGGAAAAAAAGGGGGTAAAAAGGGGGAAATTAAAGGAACGGGGAAAAAGAAAAAAGTGGGGAAGAAAAAAAAAGGGAAATAAAGAATTGGGGAAAAAAAAAAAAAGTTTTTAAAAAAAAAGGGAAAAGAGGTTCCCGAAAGTGGTTTTTCCCCCATTTTAAGATAAAAATTTTTTAAAAAGGGGTGAATAAATAAAAAAAAAATTTTTAAAGGTTTTTTTTTAAAATATCATAAAATATCTTTTGAAAAAAAAAAATTTTAAAGAAAACAATATAAAAAAACAAATAATTTTTTTTTAAAAATTTTAAAAATTTAAATGTAAACCCATTTTTAATTCTTTAAGTTTAAAAAAAATTTACTCCAAAAAAAAATCCCAAAATTTTTTGGGGAATTTGAAGGGCACCAAATCTAAAAGTTTATAAAATTATTAAAAACCAATTATTCATTTTTTTTTTTTTTTTTAATTTCACCCCTTTTTTAAGTATTAAAATTTTCCCTTTTTTTTTAGGGCTTAAAAACTATCCAAAAAAAGATAAATTTTAATTTAAATTTTTTTCCCCTTTCCCCCTTTTTTTTCCTTTTTATTACATTTTTAAAACCGATCCCTCTTTTTCTGTTTTTCCCCCGGGGGCCCCCTTTTTTTCCTTTTCTTAATTCCTTTTCCCCCCGGTTTCCAAAGGCCCCCCCCCCCCCCCCCCCCCCCCCCCCCCCCCCCCCCCCCCCCCCCCCCCCCCCCCCCCCCCCCCCCCCCCCCCCCCCCCCCCCCCCCCCCCCCCCCCCCCCCCCCCCCCCCCCCCCCCCCCCCCCCCCCCCCCCCCCCCCCCCCCCCCCCCCCCCCCCCCCCCCCCCCCCCCCCCCCCCCCCCCCCCCCCCCCCCCCCCCCCCCCCCCCCCCCCCCCCCCCCCCCCCCCCCCCCCCCCCCCCCCCCCCCCCCCCCCCCCCCCCCCCCCCCCCCCCCCCCCCCCCCCCCCCCCCCCCCCCCCCCCCCCCCCCCCCCCCCCCCCCCCCCCCCCCCCCCCCCCCCCCCCCCCCCCCCCCCCCCCCCCCCCCCCCCCCCCCCCCCCCCCCCCCCCCCCCCCCCCCCCCCCCCCCCCCCCCCCCCCCCCCCCCCCCCCCCCCCCCCCCCCCCCCCCCCCCCCCCCCCCCCCCCCCCCCCCCCCCCCCCCCCCCCCCCCCCCCCCCCCCCCCCCCCCCCCCCCCCCCCCCCCCCCCCCCAAAAAAAAAAAAAAAAAAAAAAAAAAAAAAAAAAAAAAAAAAAAAAAAAAAAAAAAAAAAAAAAAAAAAAAAAAAAAAAAAAAAAAAAAAAAAAAAAAAAAAAAAAAAAAAAAAAAAAAAAAAAAAAAAAAAAAAAAAAAAAAAAAAAAAAAAAAAAAAAAAAAAAAAAAAAAAAAAAAAAAAAAAAAAAAAAAAAAAAAAAAAAAAAAAAAAAAAAAAAAAAAAAAAAAAAAAAAAAAAAAAAAAAAAAAAAAAAAAAAAAAAAACCAGGGGGCCCCCCCCCGGCCTCGGGGGAAAAAAGAAAAATTTTTTTTCCATGGAACGGGATGATGCCCCCACTCCTCTTTTTTCCCAGGGTAATAAATTTTTTTCTTGTCAAAAATATTTTTGCCCACACACCATCACATTTTTGAGAACAAAAAGGGTTCTAAATTTAAAGGCCATGCGGGTTTTGTGGGGGAAATTAATGACAAAATTGGCCCTCTGGGGTCCAGTTTAAAAATTCAGCAACAAAAATTGAAAAATTGTGCGGGAACTAGCTGAATGTTGAATTCTAAATTAAGAATTTACAAAGAATACCTTCAGCATGCACTAAAAATACCTTAAGATCTTGTGTGTGTTGATCTATGCATGCAGACAAATGCTAGACAATGAGTAATGAAATTATTAGGAAACTAGAGCTAGTGTCATTTTTTTTATTTTTTGGGGGGAAAATGTTCGAATCTTCTTCAAAGAGCAGTTGTATTCACATTCTTGACGATACAGGCCAGGCTCACAAAAACTATCTGCAGGATTAGATAAATTATGTTAAAGCTTTTTCCCCTTGCCCCTTTTGTTGTCCTATTATGGGGCTATAGAGCATTTTACAAACAGATCTCAATCATTCTGCTGGTGGCTTTAAGCTATTGCAACTGTAATCATTAGATTAGCACTTTGTTGTGGTCTACAGATAGGCACAGACATCTGGACTTTTTGGTCCAGCACATCTAATTTCAGCAAACCTCTTTAGTCATTTTTCATAACATGCTTGCTGGGACAGTGAGTCTATGCTTATTTCCTAAAATGTCTTGGGCTACACGTGTTTATTCTACTTGCTAGACGTTGTTTGTGCTGATGAAGGTTCTGTAGCCGCAACATTCACTTTCTTCATTTGTATTTGTTATATCATGAAGCTCACTAATCTACTTTTCATCTGGTTTTATATCTTTCCATGACGTTTCCTAAGATGGGGTCCTGGGTCTCATATTTGAATGCTGATATTCAGATTATTGTGAAAGGAAAAGAACACAAGGTGAGATATGGCCAGCTGCTGGTGCTGCTAGGTCAGATACAAAACCATCTGGAAAAAACAAATGAAATCTATGGGGCATATCAACAGAGAAGGTAAAACTAAGAAATTAGCATTGTGTAAAGAAATAACTGACAAGAAAAGTCTGAGAAGACAGTTGGGCAAGAAACAATAATAAAAGCAGTATCAGTTTCATAAAAATATCACACAATGAGAGGTTTCAAGAGTTTTGATTGCCAATTTTTGCTCCAGGCACTTGAAGTTGAATAGGCAGAAAAATACTGAAAAGAAGAATCACAGCTATCTAACTTCTTTTTACCGATGTTAAATAAAAGGTAACGGTAATGTCAGGAGATGTGAACCAATGTCACTGTACACGGTTATAAACCATAAGTGCTCTGCCACTAGTACGGACAGCTGATAAGAAACTGTCCACCTGTGTCACCGTCCGCATGCAACTCTGTAGCTATAGCAACATTCATCCATTTACCCCAGTCTTAACTCTGGTACCCATTTCCTAGAGGCTTGGTGAGCTCCGGTAACCTGCAGCGAGTCACAGATGGATTTGAAAGCGAGTCTCCTATCGACTGCACTAATGCAACCCCCTAAATTAACACCAAGAACCTTAACAAAACCCATGATGGCAAAATTGCTAGCAAGTCTGTCTGATGTTCATAATTACCTCCAAAAATTTCAACTTCACACAATGTCAGAAAATTGGCATTCCGATTGACATCCAAACTGGCAATCTGTATCTTGACAAGTGAAATTGGAGAGGGTGGTGCTGTTGATGTAACTGTGTACACGCCTTGGGTTGTAGGCACCAGATCCTTAAACTTGAACACATTAGTCCCTTCTTCACTGAAACTTTCTAGTAGGAATCCCTGTAGTCTGTGAGCAACTGAAAACATTACCATACAGTACCGTAAGTCACTTTTCTAGTTTAGATAATCTTTAAAAAAAAAAAAGAGTATGACAGATAAAATTGTATACAATAAAACAAGATACCAGAAGACAAAACTAGATAATACAAGACTAGACAATGCAAAGCATGACTGCACTAGACTTGAAACTACCAGACAAGATTAGACTAAACAATGCTAAGCAAGATTAGGCTAGGCTTAACCAACAAATTTAGACACAGCAAGAGATGACTAGACATTGCAAAGCATGACTAGATAAAATAAAACATGTCAAGGTTAGATTAGAAAAAACAAAACAAAGAAAGACTTGATTAAGCTAGACAGAGGAAGGTCATACAAGGCTAGAAAAAAAAAGTAAGAAAAGTTAAGTAAGACTAGACAAATCAAAGCAAGAAAAAAAGTTAGTTGTGTATCTTCTACAGGACATAGTAGAATCAACCCCAGCAGTTTTTTGGCTGTTAGTGGTTTCAAACGGCAGTTTTACATTCAGTAGTTTGCCATTGATCCTGAACGGTCAGCACTCCATACAGCTGTTGAAATGAACGCAAACCACTAGATAGACAAATTTTTAAAAAAGAAAAAATAATAAAAATCAAGTCTAGACAGGTAGATAAAGCAAGATAAAGTTAGAAAATTAAGGCTAGGCAGGACTAGACAAAGCAATAAAATACAAGACTAATTATAAAAAGATCTAGACCAAACAAAAAGACAAGACAAGACTAAGAAATGCATGAATAAAAACATGACTAGGAGGCTCAACACAATGCAGCCAGTTACAGACATTCAACACATAAAGTTTATTTGGCTTGAAAACTGTATGTAATATATCCAGTTACCATAGAAATCTGGTAGTCACAGCTCTGTGCTCTGTTTAACTGATCAAACATGGAATACTTTGGAAATGGGAGGGGGGGGGGGGGGGGGAGATCTGGATATTCCATCTTTCTAGACTTGACAAAGCAAGATAAGACAAGACAGGGCAAACAAAGCTAGGCAAGATTATATTGGTCTAGTAGTGCAGTGAGGCAGTGAGATCAGGCCAACATTCTACACTCAGATAAAAGCAAGACAACATATAATCTAACTGATGCTGGTACCATTGGAACTGGAGCTCTTTACTGGCTGCTAAAAAAAAGGGATGGCGCGTGTGTGAGAATGTGCAGAGAGATTTGATGTTGGATTTTGACTTAACCCAACTACTAGTCAAGCAAAAACAAATTTGGCATATGCAGAACCAACCCCAGCATATTTTTGACTGTTGTGGTTTTTCTAGGCAAACTTCTGTTTAGTAGTTTGCCACTGCTTTCTTAACAGTCAGCTCTCGAAACCACTACTGAAACCAATGCAAGCCAAATTGCCTGCAGCTGGGAACAAATCTGGCATTACGGCATTACCAAGTGTGTTTACAATGCCTAAGAAAGTTGGCATATACTAGATTAAAAAGCAACATACAATGCTAGACAGGAAGAGATGAAACAACCATTGCAATTATATATTATTTTTTAGTAATTGTATATTATTTTTACCTAATGCTCTATTGTAGAGCACGTATCTGTTCACTGTTAGTTTCCCGGAGAAGGTCACAGCCCATGCGGGGCTGTTATCATAATTTGTATGTGTACAGCTGCCATGTTCGAAAATGTTGTCCCTGTTGCCATCAACAGCATTCTTGGACTGTGACATCGGTATCCACGGAAAAATACTGGTCTGTGTGGTCCTCTGTTTTAGTGCTACATTTCTACCTGTTGGTTACAATTTTAAAATATGCATTCAATCGTGAAATTATTTTTTTAAAAATGTTATGAGAAGAATTCAGCTTGAAAAATGACTAACAACAGAAAGACTTGATCGGAAAAAAAGAAAGGAAAGACACACACAAAAAATGCTAAATAAAGGCCAAGAGCTTGACTATGACATAGCCAGGGCATGATCACAAACCTGCTCTTCTTCTTCTTCTTCTGCGTTCGACATCAGTCATGCTAAACATTTAGTCCCGTCTGGGTCACAAATAGGATTGTGCGTTTAAGGTTGCCACCGGTCCCCCATAGCTTCTCTTGCAATGTGACTCCCTTGGGCCAGATCCAGTCTTTGCTGAGAGAGGTTAGGGCAGTACTGTAGTATGTGCCCAGGGGTCTGTCTTTCTGCTCCACAATCACAAGCAGCAGATATTTTTATGCCTATCCTGTACAGGTGTGCTCAAAGACCACAGTGTCCTGTCCGAAGTCTAAAAATTGATGTTTGTTCTTTCCTGTTAAGTTTGTTTATGCTGTCACTTTCTGGTCTGTAATCTCCATTCTGCCTTCTCCACTCCCACTTGAAAGACTGCTTTAGTGCTGTTTTGGTTTCCTTATAGCTGTGTGGTGGATGAAGTTGTGGAAGATTACTCCAAGCTTTTGCCAACTCATCTGCTCTCTCATTTCCTTGAATACCACAGTGGGCTGGTATCCACTGCAAGACCAGTTCTGCTTCCTTGGAGAGTAAGCCAATGTTGGTCCTTAGATCTGCAATTAGTTTGTCTTGTTTTTTGCTTGATAGTGTTTGGAGAACAGACAATGAGTCACTAAGTATAACAATTTGGTGCCCTCTGTGTTCTTGAGTGATGAGATGTTGGACTGCAGAGAGGAGGGCAGTTGCCTCAGCTCTGAAGTTAGTGCAGATGTCACCTGCTGGTAGAGAGAGAGTTTCTGATCTACTGCTAGGGGGTTTAATGTATATTCCACAGCTCCCTTTCTGACAGCATCTGTAACAGAGCCGTCGGTGAAAACCTGAGTCCAAGTGGTGTTGGGATTCTTTTCATCAAGCATAGTCTCCGACTGGGCATCTTTTGAAGTGATCCCTGGTACCTTTAGGACTATATTTGCCTTCTCTGGCTTGCTTGTCCATGGTGTAACATCTCTTTCAAGCAGATCTTGGTGTTGTCTGTACAGTTCTCTGGCAAGGTGGTTGGGGCTCTGATGCTTCAGTCTGTTTTTTTGTTATCTCTTGAAATTCAAAATGCAGTGGGTGACTTTGAAGTCTTTTTAATTTCTCATACTGTAAAAGAGTTTTGTTTTTTCTTCTGAATTTGAGTGGTTCAGTGCTATCATCTCTATCTCTCTGATGGGGGTGGTTTTTATGGCTCCGAGAACAATCCTTAGTCCCATATTCTGAGCCTTGTCCAGTTTTTTCCCATTGTTGTCTTGGCTGCTGCCACCCATGCAGTGGAGGCATATTCCATGACTGGCCTGACTGCTCCAGTAAATACTTGTTTCAGGATTCTGGAGTTAGCACCCCATGTGGTACCCGTTAATTTTTTCATCACTGCAAGCTTCTTGAATGCTTTCCTCTGTACTGCCTCTACGTGTGACTTCCAAGTTAGTCGTGAATAAAGTGTAACGCCAAGAAAGGTAGGAGTGTCAGTCTGTGGAATGAGCTGGTTTTTTATCCAGATTTCTTTTTTTTTTTGGGGGGGGGGGGGGAAGAGAAAAGTGATGCTGTGCTTTTTGAATTATTTAGCTTAAGATCCCACTTTTTGGTCCAGACTTCTACATTTTCCAGTTTTCTGTAACAGACATAAGGCTGTGGTAGTGTATTCAGAGGTTGTTCAATTTGCAAAGTCATCGATCGGCATGTAGGGTATTAGAAACGTGCTGGTGGCAGGTTGCTGTGATATCATTTCTGTAAACCGGGAACAGAGTTGGTGCTATCACACTGCCCTGGGGAACTCCTTCTCTTAGTTTTGTCAGTTTTCCGATGTGTCCATCAATTCTGAATCTGGCTCTGCGTTGGAAAAGAAAGTCTTTGATCCACTTGTACATGTGCACAACTCCTGCCTGTAGCAGTTTTAGTTGTAGGCCTTCTTTCCGAACTGTATCAAAAGCATAAGAGAGGTCAAAGAAGACAGCAAGAACTTTTTTTTTCCTGGAAGGCATATTCAATTTCCTGTGTCAGATATGTCAACATGGTCCTCTGTGTTTCTGTGCTGTCTGTGTGGTGGTGATTACCGAGTTTGTCTTCAAGAACCACATTAGTCTTTTATTTACTAATTTCTCCATCAATTTTCCTACACAACTAAGAAGGCTGATGGGTCTGTAGCTTTTTGGGTTTTTTCTCTCTCCACCCTTTTTAAGGATAGGCTGGATGAGATCTTCCTTCCAGGCTGACGGTACCACACCTTTTTGCCAGCTCTGGTTGTAAATGCAGAGGAGAAACTTCTTGGCAGCAGGTCCAAGATGAGAGAGAAATTCGTTTGTTATGCCGTCAGCCCCTGGGGCTTTCTTCATTTGCAACTCTCCAATTCTAACTTCCAGCTCTTGCATAGTAATCTTTTCTGACATGCAGGCCTCGGTTGTTTTTGTGCTAGAGTCTGCTAGAAGAGTCTTGGTCTGGTTTCGTACTTCTTTTATTCTTTGCATGGCAATATGAACCTCATTTTCCTTCTGGTGTGTATCAGCTAGCACATCTGCTGCTACCTTGCCAGTAACAGTTCTATTATCTGTTTGGAGTACAACTCTGGCTTTTTCTGTCTTGTCTCAATTCAGGCTTTTTGTGAGATTCCACAGATGTAAAGTGTCCTTCTCATGGTTAAATGACGCCGTCTTTTTGTTCCAGCTTTCGCTCATCTGATTATTTCTCTTTTTGATGACGGTTGCTTTTGCTCTGTTATGAAATATTACATTTTTATCTGTCGGATCCTTCTCCATATTTTCCCTCCTGGTACTAAGTTTGGAATGCAGAGTGTCCAGTTCAGGCAACCAGTAAGGTTTAAAGTTTTTCCTGCTGCCTCGTGGTATGTTACCCTTCGCTGCATTTAGAATAGTTGTGTTGAGGATCTTCAGTTTGACATTTATTTCCAGTCTTCTGGGGAAGACTCTCTTCAACATGTAGTCCAAATGGGAAGTGAAAAGGCTCCAGTTAACCTTCTTAAGTTCCAGCTGGGAGGTTTCTTTTCCTTATTAACTTCTCCCCTTTTGTTAATAAATAGGAATATGGGCCTGTGATCACTGCCTCCCAGCTGTTGACATACATCCCAGCTGGTAACTTTCTCCACATCTTCAGTTGCTATAGCCAAGCCTCGGGTGCTAGTTTTCCTCCAAGCTCAAGAGTAGAATGTGGGTCGTCATGATTATTTATCAGAACTAGAGTGTTGCTGATTATCCAGTTTTTTACCTCTTCTCTTTTCACATTGAGGTCTGTATAGCCCCATCTAGGTGAGTGGCTATTTAGATCTCCGACAGCTATACAGTTTTCTGTGTTTAGTTGGATGGGTCCCAGATTAATATTTCTGCTTAGTGGTGAGTTGATGTTGTATACTGTCACATCTCCCCTTGAACCCTTGATAGTGACTGTGATAAACTCTGTATCCGGGGGGGGGGGGGGGGGGGGAGATCTCTGGGTTTCCCAAGCTGTGATCGTGTTCTTGACAGCAGTCAAGACTCCTCCTTCTGGACGACCTAACTTGTCGTGTCAGAAGATTTGGTATCCCCTGATAGAGAATCTATGTGCACTTGTGAGGTGTCTCTTGGATGCAGCATATGTCAATATCATGCTGCTTCAAGAAATTTTGTAGTTCAGTTTTCTTCAGCCTCACTCCCTCAGCATTCCATAATTGTCAGTTTGTGTCCAGTTGCATTACTCTGTTCTTCCCTAGTCATTTCAGAAGATTCAGAGGTTGTGGCTCTAGTAGCTTGGGGTGGGCCCCTTCGAGGCAGGGGGCCTGGCGTCATCCCTACCCGTCCACATCCCATAGGAATGACACCATAACGTAATAATTTTGTTTGCATGACCATTTCGCTAGTGCGTAGATGCCCGATATTTAGTCCCATGCCAAGTAAGCTGACATCTTCCGACTTTGACGGTTGAGGTTTATTTTCAGGATTCCTCCTCCCATAAGCTGATTGCCTTCCAGGGCTTATGAGCTCTGCCTACCCACATTTTCTGTCCGGCTTTGTTGCCCTAGCTTTTGTTCTTACAGGAACTTCCCACAAGGCAGTGGTGTTTTGGCATTTGGTGTGTCCTTTACGTAGATGAATAGCCTTTCAGGGCTTTTGAGCTTTATCTGTCCAGGGTTTAATTAATACAAAAGTGAGGGTTTATTAATGGTCACCCCAGTAGAGCCTCATGCTGGGGAAGGAACCACGGACGCAACGTCCATCAGCCAGATGTCGCTCCTGTACATCATGACTGCCTTCGTTAACGACTGTGCTCCCCGACAGCCATGCAGTTTATTGGCATGAAGGAAACGCCTTAAACATGGGTTCTGGACTACCGACTCCCTACATGCTGACACCTGTGTGTTATTGGTGTACAAAAATTATTATTTTATACATTTTTGTTTTAATACTATTTTTTTAATACATGCTTGCAAACACTTGCACAAACTAATAATAGTTGTGACAACAACAAATAACAGTAATTAACAGTTTACAGGTACTCCCACATCAAAGCAGAAAGGGAGAATGAGGCACATGTACACATACAAGAATACAGAGGGATAAAGAGGGGGAGGAGGAGGAGGAGGAGAGAGAGAGAATCGCTAAATGAATAATTCCTCTAGGAGTGAAAATGTTCAACAATGCTTCTACACTGTAATCCATGTATTTGGTGTAGAGCATCAAACTGTCAAGTGTTTTCCCTTGAGGCCCTGAAACAGATGTTGTCTCGTGCCACAAATTTAAGGTGAAAATCCGAACGGCGTTGATTTGTTGAATGACAAACCTGCTCTGAGAATGGTTATCATTGGGAATAGCAGATAATGACTACCCACAACTGTTGGCATGACATGTGATGATGATAATGCCAGTTAATGTCACACAAGATACTGTCACAGCTCTTTATATTTTTAGGTCACTCCACATGAGGTTAATAACAGCTCTTTTCCTCCCTCCTTTTCCTTTATAGAAAATATGAAATGCTGGGAGGTACAAAATTCATGAGACTAGGTCAGTCACATAATTATACAGGCTGACAAAAAGAATTCAACTGCAGACAAATGCTTCTAACACTGCAACTGCTACAGCTCCAACAAATAAGCCTATTAAGCAGGGCTGCAGTAAATATTAAGCAAGATAAATAAGTCAGATGGTTAGGCTATGTTAGAAGATTACCAGAACAAAGTGTCACTGAGCGAGCTCTAGCACTTAGAAACAGAGAAACAGGTCACAAACACTGGATTGATGGACAGTTAAAGAATGAATACTATCATATGTGCAGCATCACATACCAGACTTTTCTTAAGGTGCATTTTCTTAACCCGAGACTAGGAAGTGAGAGTGTTAACTGCTGCAGAATCAAAGCTCCTAAGTGATGAAGGAAAGAATTTGTGAGCATGTGCTTAATCATCATCATCATCAGGTGCCTTGCCGACTGGCGTGGGCGATCATGCCTTTCCATAATCTGCGATCTCCTGCAGCATGTGAGCATGTGCTTAGGGAATGAAAATAAATGTAGCACAGTGAAAAAAACAAGAAGTATTAAGTTGATGAAACCCAAATATAGGATGTGCGTGAGTGTGTCTGTGTGTGTGGGGAGAAAGAGAGAGTTCCTTCTCTTGGATTATGCCAGAAGATTTTCAGCACAGTGCATGAACTCCCAGCAACAGCAAAAAACCAAGTATGTGTGTATACTAGAATTATGCATAATATAAACATTCCATTGTGAGCAGGTTTTCTAACTTAGGCATTAACCTTTTCAGCCTGTTATTCAGATTTTCAACTAGTGGGGTAATTTTGACAGGCATATCTTGAACTGTTTTAATCTTTTTTTTTTTCTTGTGCGTTAATCCAAAGATGCAATAGCACTATACCTACAGCATGGCTATTATATTTGTGCCTTTTGGTCAACATTTCTGACTTCTGTTGGCATTTGTTGACCGGGTTAACCTTCACTTGTTCTAGTTTTTCACCACTGTCTAAGAAGGGTAAACGTTTAAATCCACTACTCTGTGACCAGAAGAGATTTTACCAGTTTTTCTTTTACATTATAAAAACCCAAGTCTGCACTATAAATTGTATCAAATCTGTTCAAATTATATTTCTGAGACACTCCCCCTGCAGTATCCAGCAATAACAAATCTGCGAGCTCACCTCCACTGATGTAAACTGAACATAAGTACTTGACGCCCTCGCCAGTTATTATGACTTGTTTCACCACCTCACTCAAGTCACAGTGAATGTCCACCGTTCTATCATTGACTCTGGCTTGCTGGTGGTTTGTGCAATTGACTGACTGAGAACTGTCGGTTTTAAAATGAAGAGAAAATCTGCTCAAGACATCTGTTGATAGTAAACACGACAAAGGTAACTCTTCAGACATGTGAAATCTACACAAGACTAGCAAAATAGACTCACCAACTGTGTAAACTCAACTGCATAAGGTCAATATTAGTCTAATAAAGTCACCAAATCAGTTGTTGTGTCAAGTCAAGAACTGACAACAAAGCACCCGGGGCATTCCCAAGTGTGCTCCGTCTTCATCTTAAGCAGCCAGCGCAGAGTTCCAATACTGATGGCACGTGTCACAATCTGGTTATATCTCCGTCTGGCCTTTCCTCCAAGTGAAGTGAGCCGGCCAAACCCTCTAGTTACACCCAGGTGCCCAATTCTCTCCAGGCCAAAAAAATCTTGTTTCTCCTCTGATTTTGTTGCATGTTTCCCAAGGGCCTTGACTACATCTGCCTTGTCATGTATCAAATCCCAACCCAGTGGTTCAGATCCAGCCACTCTGCTCGAAGCATCCTTATCTTCACCATTTGTCAGCATGCTTTCAGAGTCAGTTACAATTATGACATGTGTTTGAATCTTGGTCTTTAGCCACCCGAGAGCAGCAGATACTGCCACCACCTCCATTCTCATGCTAGATGTTGTGGTGTTGTATGCTATGCTGTCATATACTAAAGATTTTCTATTGGCTTTTGCTACGAACCAGCCAGGAACTTCTTTCCTCTCAACCCTGAACCTTCTGTATAGATAATCAACCACCTGAGCATAAATTGTCGTGAATCAACTGTTGGACTTCCCCCTCCACAGCACCCGCTGTCCACTCTCTGCACTCCCGGCCCAAAGTCACCAAATGTGCAAAGTCAGTATTAGACTATCAAAAGAAACTCCAATTATTTATAAAACTAACCACTTTAAATAAACACCATTGATAGACAGAAAGGTATTTTTCTTATTCCATCCTTCTGCCAGAAAACATATACAAACTGGTAGCTTTGATGAAAGATAGCGTGTTTTCTATCTTTCGCTATGTAACATAAGGCTTTGTCTTGATTGACTGAGATTAGAATACAACAGACAGCTTGTCGTGCCCCTTCGAATATATGGCAAGACCCCCACACCCCCCTTGAGTTCATGGGAAAACCCCAAACCCCACCTTTCTTCCAACATAAAAACATGTGATTAACAAGTGCAGGACAATAAATCCCTCAATAACAGCAACAAAAAAGCCAACAGAGAGTACAGAGATACATTTTGGTCAGAATGTGTTCTTCTTTTATGAATTCCCAAGTTATCATATTCTGCTTATGAAAACACAAAATAGGCGTTTTTAAATATTTCATTTATATTTAAACTGAAAAAGTAAATTGCATTTTTTAAATACAAATGATGATGACACATTTCTAGCACAAAAAGCTTCTGATATAAGTTGGATATAAAAGTAGTTTTTCCTTACCAGGATCTTTGACAACAGCCCTCAGCCAGGTGAACTGATAAGGTATAGTCCAGACAATAATTACCATCTGTGTGCTATCATCAACACAAGTATTGTCATTGCTATCCCTGACAACAAATGGAGGCAGTAAACTTTGATCTAGGGTCTCACTCTGTACCAAGTCCTCTGTGAAAAATATGTGACGCTCATGAATAAATGCATCTCTTTTCTTCCTCTTCTTCTCTTCCGATACTTATCACATCAAGGACGTGGGGTGGGGGAGGGAAGGATAATTCTAATTACCTCACACACACACACACACACACACACGCACACCTACACGTCGCCACCCACCCCAAACCCCCATTTAAAACCTGCTTTTTATATCTAGAAGATCTAGTAGGTTCCTCATCGCTGTACGTGATGTGTCTTTAGTTCACCCAAGTGAACTTCTAGTAATTTTCCTTGGTCTCTGAGAAGTAAGATCTGACGCCCGTGTGTATTATTGCACACTTAAAAGCACCCTGGCAGTTGGAAATCGAAAACAGTGTAGCCTTACGGCACTGCCTGGGCAAAATTGTGAGTTAAAAATCTACCCAAAGTATTTCAAGATATTTTCTGGTGCAAAGGAGTTCGCGCACTGCATTGAGATGCTACGTACTCAGGCTTGAGATAGAAGTAGAACGGAACGGAACACTTATGGGTTGAACCCGCGTGCCATGATGTTGATCTGTTGAATAAACCAAACTAAATCTCTACTTATCACGACTTAAACTGGTACCCATGTAAGGATGGGATGACATGAGAGCCAAAATAATTTCTTAAAGGAAAAAAAAAGTCGGAATCTTACAGACAGGTGATTTATGTATTCTTGTTTGTAATTTTATTATTATACGTTGGTCATGGGCTGATGAAAGCTTCTGTCCGCAACTTTCATTTGTCGTCATGATTGTAATATTGTGCAGCTTGCTAGTTCCATCTCTGGTTCAGACTTACAGAGTTCTCAGTGTAACGTAGATACGGCAGACTGAATTGAGAGAAATGAATTGGCTCATTAGTTTTGTGTTTTGGCTTCAGTAGATAGTGTTAGATCTAGATTTGTATGTATTTTTCAATTTTTATTTTCATCTTCGCTTTGAGGTTCTGATAGTAGGTTACTTTGAAATGAAAGCAAACTCTCATCTTTGTTAGCTACAGTGATTAGCACATGGTCTGCTTGAACATGTTGTTGATTGTTAATGTATTGTTATCTGCGAAGCCCGCTACTTTTGTATTCAGGAAAATAAACAGATGTTGAATGTGACAATTATTTTCCATTTGTTTGATTCAGAATAGGACATGTAGTTCTGTGGTCTGTCTAGGTGCTGACTATGTGGTTTTATATGATCATTATTGTTGTTTAACTCACTGTTCACATATTCATTGCCTTCACCATGAGTAATATTTCATAGTCCCTGCACCAGAAGAACCCTTGTCTTGTTTTTAATTTTCCTGTGTTTGCAGTCCAGCGGGAAACTACTTACTTGTTCTACTACTTGTTTCTTTTCTCGTTTTCCTGGTTATTTTCCCTTTTCACTTCATATATATATATATATATATATATATATATATATATATATATATATATATATATATATATATATATATATATATATATATATATATATATATATATATATATATATATATATATATATATATATATATATATATATATATATTCTTAAATATAAAAGTAGGCAAGTCACCAGACTTCAGTATACAAACATAATATTTTATATATATTATATATACATAGTATTATATATGTATATAACTCATTATTTACGGAATGCCCCATGACACTCTGGCAAGGACAGCGCTCGGGTGGGCGACAGATGAAACAAGAAAATGTGGATTAGCTAAGGAAACCTATATATTAACAGCAGAACGGAAAATGAATGTATGTGAAATAACATGATATAGCATAGGAAAAAACAGCACACTGACAGCATTAGAGATCCTTGTGAATGCCTTATGCGTCAACATTAACATGATGATGATATACAGGTGTCATTATAAGTAAAACGTACTACACACATACATAGAAAACTCACCAAACTGACATGCTGGACCGAACCAACCACTTGCACATGAGACTCCCTGAGTACACGATCCATTAACAGACTCACATAAATCAAGTCGGCAGTGACACTTGTACTGGCAATTGGCACCAAACCATCCCCTTTTGCAGACTAGTTGTTAGTTGCAATAGAAATGACAACAAAGATTTCAGATAGTATATTTGATGACAAAAGCTCTATTGTTGTCCTATTATATAATTGTATGTATATGACAACTAGCCTGTTAAATGGCATTATAGTAGTGAAGCTCCTGCAACTATGGTTACAAAAAGGTGTATTTCACAATGACCATATAGTTATGAGTTTTTTAAATATGTATATAGTAATGACTCGAAGGTATTCAATATGTTATATATGACTGCCCATCTACCCAATTATGGTATTAGCTCATTCTGCTACAGTTTACAATTGCTAAGCAGTTAAATGTTTTTCATGTGCTCTATGGTAAACTTCATTTCATGGACCTCACCCTCCAGTTCAGTTGAGTGCAATTTTTACAGCGATCCATAGGGATCATAGCTGGAGCTACAAAGTTTGACAATGCTCAGGAGGTGTCTATATATACTGTGCAAAATATGTGAGTAATATGTGAGAAACCAGGTGCAATGAAGTAGATCCTCTAAATGTAGTTTCTTGGCCCATTCTGACCATGAATATAAACCTGTTCTACCCTTCAAACCCATGTGAACACCAAAAGGCATGTTGTAGATATGTTGAGAAATCTGTGCTTGGGTGAAATGTATGATGGTGATGATTACGATGATGTTGATGGCGATAATACTGATGCTGATTCTGATGTCGGTGATAATACTGATACTTATTTTGATGGTGGTGATAATACTGATGCTGATTCTGATGTTGGTGAAAATACTGATACTGATTTTGATGGTGATTATACTGATGCTGATTTGTATGTTGATGATAATACTGATTTTGATGATAATACTGATTCTGATGGTGGTGATAATACTTATACTGATTCTGATGTTAATGATACTACTGATGCTGATTCTGATGTCGGTGATAATAGTGATACTGATTCTGATGGTGGTGATAATACTGATACTGATGGTGGTGATAATACTGATGCTGATTCGGTAAATTAATACAGATCCTAATTCTGGTGGTGTAGATAATCCTGATGCTTTTTTGATGGTGGTGATGATACTGATGCTGATTCTAATGGTGGTGATAATATTGATCCTGATTCTGATGGTGGTGATACTAATGATAATGATTCTGATGGTGGTGATAATATTGATCCTTATTCTGATGGTGGTGATACTAATGATAATGATTCTGATGTTGGTGACAATACTGATACTGATTTTGATGGTGATAATACTGATGCTGATGTTGATGTTGATGATAATACTGATTCTGATGTTGGTGATAATACTGATGCTGATTCTGATGTTGATGATGATACTGACACTGATTCTGATGGTGGTGAAAATACTGATTCTGCATGTGTTTTGTCAGCTTTTTCTCAGATGATCAGCACTCTGCCTATCTTCAATCATTCTCTCCTTTATTCACATTTATTTCTTTATCTCCCCCCCCCCCTCCGTTTTCACCCCTCCCTCCCCCTTTAGTTCAATTCAACACAGTACATGAAATTATTTCCCCCATAAATCCCCTCAATACATGTATTACTCATGTCCACTTATAAACATCTTTATATCACAGCAGAGGCCAACCTAGACATCTTCTTACCATTTGTAGTTTATCTTAGAGGATGTCCTGAAGGACTCTACCTTCCTTCATCCTTTAAGTATGATCTAGCGACTTGAACCTTCGGAGACTGAACATGAGAAAACTGTTGCATTACCTGCTCTTTCAAGTAGCTCCGCATTTGTGATCTATCTTGCCATTTAATGTCAAGCATTCTTCTTAGGCATCACATATGCAAGCTATTCAGCCATCTGTCCTTGTGAACAAATTTAAAAAAAAAAGATAAGACAAGTTTCAGTTTCGTAAAGAAGGGTGTTTTTTTTTTTTTTCTGTTGGCCAGCAATATCTGTTGTTCGGCATAATGACAGCTGCTTTTCTCACATCATTAATGATAACATAAAAATGGTTATGGTGAAGCTGTTATTACCTTCACTGCAACTTTTCCCTTGATAGCCAGAAGTGCACACAGGAGGACATTCACCGGTAGTGACAAAGCAGGTCTCACAGTTACATTTGTATTCACAGTTTCGGCCAAACCGGCCTGGCCCACACACAGGATCTGGGGACAAGCAGCCAGTATGTAAACTCAGTCTAACATAATTTCGGGGTACACTGCATAATTTGTGATTCATAGATGAACAATCTAAAAGACACAAAACTTCTAAATGACACAGAACTTATGGATAATCGAAACATTGCATGATTTGTGGAGCAGGTTGCATTGTCATAATGACTGCTGGTATCCCCATCAACAGCTTTGGATGCTTGTGAGTTTCTGACATCATAAATTGTAGACTGTGCTGCCTTTTGTTTGAGGGCAACATTTCTTCCTAGAGAAGAAACATTACAATTTTTGTCAACTGATTATTATTGTTACCCAGTGACGTCTCCATGCCGAAGGCTTGACTCTAAAGAGTTTCTGCTTGACCACATCTTCCAACCTTGGTTAGTGAATGTGTTTAACAATTTTAAGATATGCATTACTAATGTCTGGTTTCCATGGTGGACTTTTTTGGGGTTTAAATTTCTCAAGGTTTTTAGTAATACAAGACCTGTGACATGGCCAAGATTGGGGCTATACGACTTAATATTCCCACAGACAGCAGTTTGTGCAACATAACCAATCTTTATCGCAGAGATGGCACAGAATTGACTAAAAGCACTACAGCAGAGGTGTGGAATAAATAATACACCTTATGTGGTAAAATGCTAGGCAAGAGAGAGACCCCTTACCCCTCCCCATTTTCCCATCCAATGGGTGTCTGTTTTACACAGCTGTGCAAAAAAAAATAATTTTAGCAATAGTTTTCTTATTCTTCTTTTCTCCAGTCATGTTCTGCCTTTCAGCTTCAGTATTTGGTG